TAAATGTGTTCACTTCATCGCGTTAATGCAATTCAATGGATTTGGATGGAATTTGGCACATATATAGTTAATAATCTCACTTCACACTTTGTATTTCGGCTTAACGACTGTTATGAATTTATGTTAATGACACACTATGAAATTTCTGGAAAAAGCTTTGCGGCTCTCCATTTCTGTATCATCATATAATAAATGTGGAAAGCTTTCGAAAAAGGAAGGAAGTTTCGAACAAAAAGATTTTACAAAGAAACATGTCTTTTTGAAGATATTTTCTTTTCAGTTTATACAAAATGTCCATGGCTTCCATGAAGTTTGCTAATCGTATGAATATTTTACGGACTGTCATCTAGACAAAAGCAGAATTATCTATTCAGGTGACATTAAGTCGTAATTTTTTGAAACGTTCAGTTTCTGTAGTTATCCAAAATAGTGCTGGTGAGAAAACTGAAACAAGTATTTCTACCAGAAACTTTGAAGTACATTGATGTAGAAATCTGGAATTTTTTTCCTGGAAATCAATCATCTCCAAAAAGTATTTTCTTTCTAATTGAAATGAAAATTGCCACCCTTCATATCCGTATTTACTATGGTGAAATCAAAAAACTGAAGATGACCCTCTACTTCATCTCCTGAAGCCGTCAACTTGGTTGGTCAAACGCGTGTGGTCAGTTGTAACTGATTCAGTGAATGCAGAGTAGGGTCTAACTGATTCATTCATTCCATTATAGACAGCATACCTCACACTGAAGATTTTCTTAGGAGTTTTCCCAGCAGCTGAAAAGCAAATGCATCATCTACAGAACGATACTCCAGACTCTAAAAATTCATTCAACTTTACAAGATCATGTTACTGTTGAAATTTTGGTTGTTATCTTCACAATTTTTATAATCTCACATATCTGTTAAAGAATATGTCTGTTGAAATCTGATATTTCATTTATCAGCTATCGCCTAACTATGAAAGAAAATTCACAAAAGTCTAAACTTGGACGATTTACGGATTAACGACACTTGACCTTTCAACGTGCGATTCTTAGCGTGGAATCCAGAGTGACTACTTTGCGATTCAAAAACAGTAGGGTGAATATGCCCAGGACAAAAACGTACGTATTAGGAAAATTTTATTTCAAAATGAAATTTCCTAACACTCACCTATCCTAACGTACATACACTGTAGAATCTGGTAAATGCTTGCAAAAAAACAAAGATTTTCTCAACTGTTACCAATATGAACATGAAGTGAATTAAAAGGGTTATATGGCTTTCTACTACTCCATCTTGATACAAAAAAAAAAGGATGAGGGAATCTTCCAAAGAAAGGAAGGAAGTAACTCTATACATGGATATGTAGATCATGCAAAGAAGTAACTTTCAGACACAGACTGAAAGAAAATCCTCCTGAAACAGCTACTTTCATATAAACATTGAATTACACGAAAGAAAAAATTCTTTCGAAAGAACTACTTCCATATGAACACTGAATTATACAGAAGATACTTTTCTCTAGTCAGTTTGTATTTCAAATATTCGTTGTGGAATAAAAATCAGATATCATTCACATGAGTTCTACTTTAAATGAATGGTAACCAATTGCACTTAGATGGAACACTATCATCCTCACTGGTATACATCGATGTTTCGCCTTAAGACACTTGCCCTAAGACACTTACCCAGTACCAGATTGGATAACATTTTAGAAAATACACACAATTCATTCATGAATTACGATTTTTAATGTCATGTAGCTGTTTCAAGAGGTATTTTTTTCAGTTTGTGTCTGAAAGTTACTTCTTTGCATGATCTACATATCCATGTATAGAGTTACTTATTTTGCTACTAGAGTTGCTATTTTCAAATTGATTACTTTCTTCCTTTCTTTGGAAGATTCCCTCATCCTTTTTTTGTATCAAGATGGAGTAATTGAAAGCCAAACACTTTCTTTCCCAAAAAAAAAGAACAAAAAGTATATTTGACGTGGCACTTCTACTATACGAATTCTACGTCTGAGAAAAATATTTAATAGCAAGTATCAGCTCCAACTGATGAACGAATACAACATTCAATAGAAGCTCTATTTAGATTGGAATTTTCCTGCGTTTGGATTGAACTTTTCCTTCGCTAACGAAAGTAGGTGATCCAATTGATTGATCACAGCCAGGTCTGCTACTGTTAGAGAGAGAAGCATCTGCAAAATAATCCTAAATGGAAACACCTGTTTAATATTTCATCAGTTCGGACTTCCATTGCCCAACATATAGTCTATATATTGTCTAATATATAGTCTATATATTAGACAATGGAAGTCCGAACTGATGAAATACACCACCGAACATTGTCAACCACCTTCAAACTTGTTTAATATGTTGTTTAATATATGTTTTTTTCGTTAACTAGCTATTGCACCCCTACGAAAGACAACCCTCAGAAGTCGAAACTTGTGCTAAAAACTAACGTGTGATTCCTAACACGGGTTGGACGATAGCAAGTGCGGCTTGAACCATCGACTCACACATCGGCCGATTGACTGAGTGAACAAAGCACCCACGTCGAACTACCGACCTACCTGAATGTCTATCGTGTATGATTTGAAATACTTCACCTGATCCTACTCTGTAGAAATGTTATACGAGGTGAATATTTCAAAATTTTATTCAAAATATTCATTTTCTCAATACTTTTGATACATAGGAAGTTTGTAAATTTGTTAAAATCACCCTTTCAGCAGGTCAATTATCAGGTCATCCGAATTCAGCTCTCGCACATCATCATGTGGAACGATATTTTTTATTTTTTTTTTGGTAAAACAAATATCGAGCAAAGCATTTGAAAAAGAAGGGGTCAATGTATGAAATTTGAACATATCATACATAGTCGAATATTTTCGAAATCAGTCATTGCAATATGAAATATTTTGGAGTTTCATAAAGAGGGAAAATTCGGAATTGAACTGGCGTTCGAATTCGAAATAGAAACAACTATACTGCAAAGAGATTATCAGAGGATATTATTTCAACAACTCTGATTTAAATCAAAAATTGTAGAACTGGCTATTGGTTCTATCAGCGCGATGCAGGCAACGTTCGATTGCTGGAAAGAGTGAACAATATATATGCACAAAGTCACCAATAGGAGCCAATCGCATTTCTGTGGTTCCAGTTAACAGACCTGGCACTTCTAGGAAACAACCACGTAGGCTATCTACCTATCTATCAGCGTGATATCATCGATAATTATGTCACCTCAGATGTGACTGCTTGACTGACAACCATAATCCTCTACCGATATTCAATTTTACTCTGAATGCATTATGTTTTCTGTTTCGAGTTGCAAAATAACAAAAAATTTCAATTTTTTCCCAGTTGGTCCTTAATACGATTCTTAGAGCCACTTCACATGAAGGCAGAAGTGACTTCTGGCAATTTAGTCAGCAAAAGTGAGTTCAACACTCCACTTCTTCGGAGAGTAACTACAGAAATAATAAAAGTATCTAATACAAGAATAGAAATGACCATAAATATATTATACCAACAAGCAAACCTATACTGAACCGTAGAAAATGGGGAAACCCTATTATTTAAGTGACCCCAATGGAAAAGATTGCGTCGAGAAACAGAATTTTGTTTATAAAATTGTCTAAATTCAATTTGGTACTCGTAGAAATGTTGTTTTGCTATAAATTATCAATACACTGGCTCATTATTGACAAGAGAGATCCGACCGACCATTTTGTGTTGTAGACAATGGTGTAAGCTATCAGGAATGTATTCAATAGTGCTAGTACTCTTTCTTCCTTTGATGTATTTCAGAAGCTAAGCTCTTCTAATCACTGTAATATCTAAAAACGGTATCTAATTTTCGATTTCAGTTCCATATATGAACATAATATTTGGGGATTTGTTATTAATAAGAGTTGAAACAAAGTCCTCTACCTTTGATTTCTTTGTATCAAAAATCGCAAATGCTTCGTCTGCATATCGGATCCAAGTCCTTGGAAAGTATTCTTACTCACATTTTAGTCCTACTTCGAATAATACTGCCAGAAGTACTTTCAGATATACTCTCGATAACCCACATCGTTATCCACCACAATATGGTAGGTTTCAATTTTTTTATCAGAGCTTCTTGCTCACTTCAACAAATGTAAGGTAACCCCACGAAAATATGTTGGAAAATGGAAGGTCTGCGATATATAAAATGAGTTGAGAAAACGTGACGAAAATGTAACGGTCAGATTGAGCGAGCCATTGAAACACGTGTCAGAGACCACCATTACTTAGCAAACTGCCAAAACCAGGAAAATCTTGTGTCGGTCGCTTAGGAAAACCGTCATAAACTGAATAAAAACTGTCTGAAATTGGTGGGATCGGTATTCGACACTAGGTTTTTAGATGCGCTGGAAAGTCTGGAAATAATCTGGCAAGAGTGGTATGACGAAGTTCCCATTACGAACAGCCCATTGTTTATCTTTTGAAGTGATTACTTCTTATGGGCTGATAAACCGCTTCGTTACGTAGTCACACACTGAACACTGAGTCGCATGACTCAGTGTTCAGTGTGTGATAGACATATACTGTTGACAGTGATCATATGACCTGAAACTACCATCGCTTTTGTAAGTGTCTGGAAAAAAATCGATGGAACAAGCAGAAGATGATCCTCGAAATATTACACAATCTCCTAACGAAATGGTTGAGTTTTCTCCATCTCGCGTCGAAACGAGTATTGAGGTATTCTACGCTAGAGAATCCAGTTTTACTTTTTACAGAGTTTTATTTTCTATGAAAAAATTGTCGACTTATTTTAGATTGGCAACAATGGAATCTTCGCGTAAGTTTCGAAAATTCAAATTTGAATGAATTGCAAACAGTTCATTCAAAATGTTAAATCGAGTTTTTCTGATGATACATATAATATAGATGGTAATGATATGAGATTAGCTAGGTTATTTGTTCCCATATATCGTACTCGAGATAAACTATCTGGAGTACGCTTAATGAAATGTGTTATCAGACGGAGAGTTTTCAAATTGCTTTTCGTAAATATGTACGTTAACATGTCAATGTTAACTCAATAATTAGTTATCAGTTCAGTAACTTGACTCAGTCAAACATTATTTTTCCAGAATAAATCAATATGAAACTATTGATTATAACTGTTACAATCTTTTTTGTTGTAGAAGCTGAAAGTAATCATTATCGATGGAGACATGACAAGGTATGACAGACTAATATGATCAGATGAAAAAATTATCTGAACATTCTTAAAAAATGTTGCTTTTTTTAAAATATCAATACAAATTAGGAATGACTTAATCCGGTCAATATAATTAATGTGAAAGTTTGTATCTGATTGGTCCAATCTTTCCTTGAGTGTCGATATTCATGTCTTATTTATGTTTGAGCTTCCTCCCTGGTTATCATTGTCATGTTTTTGTATTTCTATGGCCTGTCTCAATAGCCTCAAATAATACCCAGTTTCAATCAATCAATTATGTTCAAGAAATTCTCATTGACAAAGCTAGTGAAACTTTATGAAGTCAACAGTATTGAAGTTTAAAAAAAATTACTGGAAAAGTTATGGCCTCTGTATTTTGAGATGTGCGCGGGTTAATATTCATCGACTATCTGGAGAAGGGAAATACCATCGACAGTGAGTATTATATAGCGTTATTGAAGGCCGAGATAACAAAGGAAAGACCGCATATGGCATAGGAAAAAAATTAATCCATCAAGACAATGCACCGTGTCACAAATCAAACAAAACAATGGAAAAATTGCATGAATTGGGCTTCGAATTACTCCCACATCCCCCGTATTCGCCAGATTTGGCTCCCAGCGACTACTGACTGTTCGCAGACCTCGAAAAAAATGGTCATCGGTAAGAAATGTTGCTTGAATGGAAGGGTTATCGCTGAAAGTGTGATCTATTTTGAGACAAAAGTTTCATTCTATAAAAGAGGTATTGAAATGTTAGAGCAGCACTGAAATGATTGTGTGGCTCTTGATGATATTACGTTGATGAATAAATCCAATTTTGATGTTTTGACAGCAATATGATTTATGTAATATACAAATCGCAATTCCTTATCAAAGATAACTCGTAGATACTTCATTGAAGTGACACGAGTTAGTGGATTACCATTCAGTGAATATGATGTGTGAAATTTTCTATTCACTTTGTGGAAGCTAATGGAACTACATTTGCTGATGATCATGTGTAATTCATGTCTTATTCGTTAGCAATTGTTCTTGGTTGGATTGAATTATTCAAGATATTGAACAAAAGTCATTTTTTGTGATGGAAAATCAGTTTTTTATCGACCTTTTTTGGATATTCATACCCAAATATGTAAATTATAATGAAGAACTTCATACAGGTGTTAGAAGGGCAAACTTTTCAGTTTACCCCTTTGACATCGACAAATGTATGAAGTTCTTCATAATAATTTTCATATTTTTCAGATTGGGAAAGGTGAAAATGCCCAAAAAAGGTCGATAAAGAATCTGTACCGTTTATAAAGACATTTTTATCAAGAATACCTGAACATAATTCGATGGAAAAATATCAGTTCACCCAGTCCACTAAAATCAATACTTCCTAACTCAGTTTTCTGTATGATTCGTGCACCATAAAAATATATATTCTCAAGTGATCATATCTTTTTTCCACAGATTCCTAATTTTTATATGAAAAACTGTATTATTATTTCGAATATTTTCCATGGGTGGATGGTTCAAGAAAAATAAACTTGTATCAATGTTAATTTCAGGTTAGTCAATCAATTGTGAATGATGCCATTCCAGTATTTTTTGATTGGAGGAACTTCAACGCCACATTACCTCCAAGAGACATGGGAAATAGCACTAAAAGTTGGGCATTTGCTGTTGTAAGTAATATTTCCTCCAACTGTAAGTTAAATTGAAGGTCGCCTGCGAAACACTGACAGCCCTCAGTCAACTATTCTCTAGGACCTCTAGTTTTTTCAAAAAACAAGAACAATTTCATAGGACTTTCTCAAAATGCCACTATTATAACAATATTGGATAGAGAAATATCGCGTTCCTGGTGCCCATATTCATTTATTCATTCATTTATATTCAACGAAAGTTATTTTTGTGGAGGGAAAATCAATTTTTTATCGACCTTTTTTGGGTATTTTATGTTCTGTACGAGATCACCTTTTTTATAATAGTACGAGTACAAGCATCAAATATAACTGATACTACCTGGGGCCTGAAGATGGCGCTAGTCTTATTGCATTCCCCGCTTTTTCAGTTAGTTCTGGCCTTCAAAAAGAAGCTGTTGAAATTTCATGTTTGGAGTTATTGTGCCAAGCGTGACACTACTTTTGTTATTGTCAAAAAAATGGATGAAAAACAATTTTGTGTTTCAATTTTACACTGCTTTTTGATGGGAAAAAACTGTCAAGCGAAACAATGGCTCGTAAAGTGTTATAAGGACTCCGCTCCACCAGAAACAACAATTGAACGTTTGCTGACTTCACACGTGGTCACTGGATGATCGAATGAGGTAGTAACAGAAAACCCAAAAAAAAACACACAAAAGTGTTTTGATGGTCCAAAAGTGAAGTTGCGTGAGTTAGCTGACATTTTGGAGATATCAGAAGAACGTGTTTGATTTATATTTCACGAGCATTTGACTTTTAGAAAGCTCCGTTCAAAGTGGATGCCGCGCGGCCTCACTGATGACAAAAAAAAAAAGATGTTTTGATGATTCTTAGCAGTGTTTCCATGTTCGAACATAATAAACAGTAATTTTTACGTCGATATGTGACAGTGGATGAAACATGGATGGACGCATCACTTCACTCCGGAATCAAAACGACTGTCATCTGAGTGGAGAGCAACTAGTGAACCTCGTCCACAGCGCCCGAAAGCACAACAAGCGGCTGGAAAAGTTATGGCCTCTGTATTTTGAGATGTGCGCGGGTTAATATTCATCGAATATCTGGAGAAGGAAAATACCATCGACAGTGAGTATTATATAGCGTTATTGAAGCGTTTGAAGGCCGAGATAAAGGAAAGACCTCATATGGCATAGGAAAAAAATGAATCCATCAAGACAACGCACCGTGTCACAAATCAAACAAAACAATGGAAAAATTGCATGAATTGGCCTTCGAGTTACTCCCACATCCCCCGTATTCGCCAAATTTGGCTCCCAGCGACTACTGACTGTTCGCAGACCTCAAATAAAATGGTCATCGGTAAGAAATGTTGCTCGAATGGAAGGGTTAACGCTGAAAGTGTGACCTATTCTGAGACAAAAGTCTCATTCTATAAAAGAGGTTTTGAAATGTTAGAGCAGCACTGGAATGATTGTGTGGCTCTTGATGATATTACGTTGATGAATAAATCCAATTTTGTTGTTTTGACAGCAATATGATTTATGTAATATACAAATCGCAATTCCTTATCAAAGATAACTCGTAGATACTTCATTGAAGTGACACGAGTTAGTGGATTACCATTCAGTGAATATGATGTGTGAAATTTCCTATTCACTTTGTGGAAGCTAATGGAACTACATTTNACTAGGGGTAATCGAAGTCATAGATAAAAATCAAATAATAAGTTTCGACGTGGAAACACAAATGTTCCTGTCGAAGAAGACGGGGACCTGGAAGATAAAACAAAACTACCTAAAGAAATGATCATGGATTGTCGAGAAGGATAAGTACAACATCTTCAGATCCAGAAACACCATACATAACAGCCTCACGAAAACCAGGCCACCAAACATGGACTTCGATTCCAAGAATTGTATTTACCGGATACCCTGTGAGTACGGCAAATCCTATATCGGTGAAGTCCTCATTGTCGGAAACATACACAGCGAGGAGAAACCAGCAAATCGTGAACAGCAGAGTATATTTGAACTCATCAACATAACATCAAGTGGTCCCAAGCATCCACAGGGAGGAACACTGGTTCAGAAGGGAATTCAAAGAAGCTAGGGTAAAGCAACATATGGAAATCCATTATCAAGCGGAAAACGGTCAACTTTCGCCAGACAGTCATCCCGCGCTATGCAATGAAGCAGTGAGAGAAAAGAGGGGATATGTGGAAGCAATCGAATGACCTATCAATAGATATATCTCGGAGGAATAGTCCAATCATCACCCGAAGACGATTATGGACACTAACAAAACTTCGTGAAAAAAATTTGCTTGAAATCTTTTTATTTCATTTCANCAACAGTGGAATCTTCTAAAACATGATGTGAAAATATCTCAGTACAGACAGCGTCAAAAATTTCATTTCAGGTTTTTTTGCTTGACATAATTGTTGTTTTCAGCTATTCATTTCAATTTTATTTGTTGTTTCAGGGATTTCAAATCGTATCATATCATATTAGACAGTGGAAGTCCGAACTAATGAAATTCACCATGAAACATTGTCAACCACCTTCAAACAGACAGGAATATAATAAATAATCATACAGAATCATCCATGCATATAAGCGAAATTTCATTATTGGCAACTTGCCTTGAAGATACTCATCTCAGAATTTTCCTCAACTGAGTTTGGAACAGCTACCTCAATTGCTGTTGTTTTAGCAGTCAGTGATGCAGGTGATGATTTAGTTCCAAACGTTCTGTCTCACATAATCTTCTGTGGGTTCTTGAAAACGTTCGAGCAACGGAAACTATTCTATTTAGGAAGCGCTCCTTATAGTACGAGAGCTAGCAACGTTTGGAAAACAAGAAGTTTAGAACAGTTGGTTTTTTGATATGCTGTCTTTCTTGCTCTTTCGGTTAGAGTCCGGGCTACCTGGCTGGCGGTAGTGGTTACGTTTATAAATGTACATCTTACCTGCACAGGTAAAAATCCTCAACTTTAAAAGACTTCTTCAAAGCGTAATTTTCAATTTTTTGCCTTTAGATAGATCCACCAGACATCAATTTTTATAAAAGTTCACCATGCTTTTTTGAATAAACAAGTTGATATGACGTAAATAACATCACGTATCCAGCTTGAGAAGTGTCAGAATTGTTTACGTTGACAACTAAATTAGCACTCCAGATGTATGTATCCCACAAAACATTCCTACTACACTTCAACGGCTGATTTCTTATAGGGATAAGCAAATGAACGCATTTCTTTTGCTACCTCAAAAACCGTTTGCCGGACGAAAAAAAAAAAGGCTAGAGACCAGTTTCATGAGACTGTAGCAATTACGAAAATAATATTTATTTGGGAAAAGGACATTGGCCTATCATGATTTCGATAAAAAAAAATATAGCAGAGCATGTTAACAAGGACGCCACTGATGAACATTAGGATGATCTTCACCATGATGAAAAATTATTCTTATGCGTACTTTGCATGTACTGAAATTTAAAAAAAAGCGGACCTATGTTCATATGGAAAATCTTTCCTAAAATCATCCAAGGATTATCTTCAGGATCAACATTCAATTATGAAACGTCCCGTGTACTTTTATTCATGTAACAAAAATTAAAATGAATATCATGCAACACAAACCAATTCATTATTCTCACAGGCATCTGCAATAGAAACCGGACTTTTCAATTACAATGGTACTTTAGAATACCTGAGTGTCCAATATTTGCTGGATTGTGCTTTCACGCAAAATGTATTTGGTTTATTTTATCATACTTCCCTCAATGGAATACCTTCTGAAGAAGCATACCCTTACACAGGTGAAGAAGGACTTTGCAAGTGGGTTTCTTCAAGAGTATTCACTTCATACAGCTATGTTTTCGGCAATGAAACGTTGCTGCAAGAAATTGTAGGTAGGTTATAATGATGATACTAAAAGAAAAATCAATTTACGTGAAACTGACTTGTGTTGAAAGATATATTCAATTCAGTGTGTTGTCTGATTCAGTCAGTTTTATCGTTAGTAATAGCTTGAGTTCAGAGAAAAACATTTTCAGCATTCAACTCAACCTACACTGAATGACTACCATGATAAGAATAAAAAAAGACATCCTTTTTTTCCTCAGTCCAAAATTGGACTGTTGAATTCACAGTTGAAGATATTATACTGATACCGATCAAGCAGTAGTATGTGGTGAAAACTATTAGGTATCACACTTACACATATATAGGCTAATTTATGTTAGATGGCACATAAGACGTTTCTGTTGAACCAGACACTAGATCACTTTGAAAATACAATGGAGAGCATATTCGAACATTCTCTATCCAACTAGGATATTTTCGACAATGCGGTCTTGCCACTGCTATTAGTAAGTAGTAACAACTTTGATTTTTCGAATAGTGAAATGTTGGGTTTTCCAGGTAGTTTAATTGAAGCCAGTCATTACCAAGAGTTTCGTTTTTATTCGTATCAAAGTAACATCTTACATCGAAGAGTATATGCACACTAATGATTCATCAGAATCGGGGTTATACAGAATTGGTTGCTCATCACTTATTATCTAATTGTTATATATTTGAACTGCAAACAGTTCAATGTAGTGAAAAGGTACCAGTAATACATAATTAGGTCGAGGTGAGTTTAATGAACCTGCAACGTTTCTATACGTAGAATTGTGGAAAAGACAATTGAATATAATACGAATTTGGTAACCTATTTGAAATGTAAAATATGTGACTTAAATCTTTATCACAATAGAACACCCCGTTTATATTACTTTTGAAATCTACAACAATTACCAGAAAACTTCTTCTGATATTTTCCTATACCTATCTGTTAACGTTTTCAAAATATGAATTAATTCCAATTTTTTTCTTCGGAAATCATGGAAAAAAAAGAAAATTTCAACAGCTTTCTCAAAACGGTAACTCAAAAACGGTAACAGGGAGGTGTGTAGAAATATCGAAAAAGTTGTCGTGTAATTGTTGTAGATTCCAAGAATAATATTATATACAGGGTGTTCCATTCGAAAAATCTATGTTTCTACTACTTTTTTAATGGACGCAGCAACACCGCATTTTTTTAAATACTTTAGTTTGGTAGAGAATGTCCGAATATTCTCTTTAATGAATTTCAAAAGTGATCCGTTTTCTGGTTCACCAGAAACGTCTAATATGCCATCCACCGTGAATCAGCCTGTATTACGAATACACAGATTTATCAGCGTAGTAGGCAAAATCTATATGCGATATGACTAATATCACTTCCGATTCGTTTGCTGGATATAGATACGTATCCCAAATATGAGAATGTTCAAATTAAATATTTCTCAAATGAACAAGTTGTTGAAAGAGAGTGCAAGAGAAAAACATCTTACTCGCCGAATAGAAAATTATTTACATGAAATTATCGTTTTCTAAATACAAAGAACCAAAATGAACATTTGAAAATTTGAAAAACCTTCTTGGTAATATAGAATAATAGTTTTTCAGAACAATATTAGCTTCATTAGCAAGAAACATTGAAAATCACAGTTTGGGTTTTTCAGAAAACCAACACGTTATGTGTACCGTTACACCCTTCTAATTGGAGGATCAAATTCCATTCTGAAAGATTCAGATAACACAACAACCAAAAAAATTCAACAAGACCTCATCTTTTCAGCTGAAGCTCTTAATCAGAACTTTACAGAATCCACAATTCCACCACTAACATAAGCGGATGGTTCAATTGCAACAAAAGCCATAGAGAAAGCAAATCTACTAGCTGAACACTTTGCGTCCCACTCTATAGTTGATTTTCTGAGAAAGGCCCCACCCACTATTCCCACACTTGAATCCACAATGCCGCGAATTTTGAAACAGCTGCACCAATATTTTGCAGAATTATCAACCTGTCCCAAAAAAAGGGTATTTTTTCTTCTTGTTGGTAGATTTCTCGCGTTCAGCCTATTCCCAAAAAGGGCAAGAAAACGAAAGACCAGTCACTATCAGTGATATCAAAAATCATTAAGAAAGCCGTAAACCATCACATTCTAAAATATTTGGAAGGTTTCAACAATTTGAGCGATCAATGGCTTTCGATCAACAGGCGACCTTCTATCATATGTCACCCATATTTGGAAGAACGCAATCGTGATTTATTAGACAATTCCGCTTTCTGCTTCGATAAGTTTGTTGGGGGTTAAAATGGACACCAATATGTTTTGGCACAACCATGTCGCTGGAATTGCAAAGGCTGCTTTTCAAAAGCTTGGAACACTGTTCCGAACCAGAAAACTTTACACACCTCAGCAAATTTCGATGCTTTATAAAGCTCAGATCAGACCTTCTGTGGAGCATTGTTCTCATGTATTGGGCTCTGCACCCAAACATACCCTGAAGCTGTTGGATTCCATCCAGAAAAGAGTCATCCGCCTGATTAGAGACGCAAACATCAATTGCATGCAACCTTGGTAGTCTGGAACATCGAAGGAAGGTTGGATATTTGTCTCTCTTCTATAGATACTTTCACAGAAAGTGTTCAAATTACTTGGCACATTTGATTCCACCAAGAGCAGTACAAATCATAAATACGCGACGGACTATGGCTGCTCATCGTTTTGAGGTTCAACTCAGTACACCTCGAACTTCACTGTTTAAGAACTCTTCCATTTGAATAACGGCGTTTATGTGGAACAAACTTCCTGAATATGTTTTTTCAAATAAATTTAATCTCCAGCGAATCAAATGCAATGTGAATCACTACTTTCGCACAGGCAAGCGGTGCCTGTGAGCGCTTTGAGAATTTTCCTGTAATGCTTGTGTTTTGTCCTTGAAAAAAAATCTGTGGTCATTTTATGCCACATGTTTTATCGATCACAGTCCGCCGCCTGGATTTTGTTTTTTTTTAAACGTGACTCTGGCTAAGAAAGACTAAATTTTTATATCAGTGCAATTTTTTTCACAGCTAAAACGGGACCGCTTACAGTCACCATCGATGGCATCAACTTAGCCAAATATACGTCAGGAATAATAGATGGAGCTACATGCGAGCAAAATGAAAAAAACTACAAAAGTCCATGGAGTGCCGTAATTATAGGTTATGGTTCAGAAAATGGTACCGATTATTGGATAATGAAAAATTCATTAGGTACTACATGGGGTGAAGAAGGATACTTCAGACTGAAAAGAGGTGTGAATGCCTGTGGAATTACAAACGGAGCGTGGACTTCAGCAGTGGTAGGACACACAGTTGATGAATAAGATTTAATTCGGTGTAATTGAGAACCAAAAATTTAATAAAATTCGACGGTGTTCACATCATTCTCGATTTATTCAAATCTGGCTTTGTGTTTCAATCTCCGTAGTAACATAATAATACATACCCTTCCGAAATTTACCTTCCATTCACCAAGTCGAGGACAAAATGACTAGATTCGGTCGAGGAAATATTGAGTTAGTCATTTCAAGATTCAATATACTCGAACGAAAGTCACTTTTGTGGAAAACCTTTTGTTATCTACCTTCTTCACTCTAATGAAATGAATGAAAACACTTTTGTCTAAATATTCAACGAAAGTCATTTTTTTGTGAAGAAAAATCATTTTTTTATCGACGTTATATGAAAAGTTTTACCTTTAACAATCTGAAGAATATAAGTATTATAATGGAGTACTCTATACAAGTTTAGAAAGGGCAAACTTTTTAGATTACCTTTTCTGCACTTTACTGCGTAAAATCGAAGTATTTTTCAAAAAGTAATTTTTTTTATTTATCAGTAACTTGTCGTATTCAACGATGTTGCCTGTGAAAAAAATGCTATGATATAATAAATAGGTACTTATCTCAACGTTTCGGAGGCCAAAATTTGCTGTCGTCTTCAGAAATTGACAAAAAATTCAAAGATATCTACAGTTATTCCTTTCCTGATTATTTATTTTTCAACTCCTTTGACATCTGTCAAAGAAGTTGAGAAGTGAATAATCAGCAAAGAAATAACTGTTCAAAAAATCTGTTTAAAATCTGTTTTTCAGTTAATCAGCTGTCGCTCCATACGAACGACAACTCTCAGAAGTTGAGAAACTTGAGCGAGCTAAGGACTACCTTTCAACTTACCTTTCAACGTGTGATTCCTAACACGGTAACTGCATATATATTTCAACTTTTTTCCATTTCTGAAGACGGAGGCAGATTTTGGCCTCCAAAACGTTAAGATAACTATTATATTGTTTCTTAGTATTTTTTTGTTAGACAAAATTCTTAAATACAAGTTAATGATGAATAAAACATTTTTCTTTGTGAACAATACTTTGATTTTACGCAGTAACTCATCGAGGTTAACTAAAAAGTTTGCCCTTTCTACATCTGTATAAAGTTCTCCATTATAATTTTCATATTTTTCAGATTGTGGAAGGTGAAAATACGTGTTCAAGGAGCCTTACGTCAACATTTCTACCGGTTTGGCCTGTATATACTGCAGAGCATTCACTACACTCTATTTTATTAATACAATATATTTTATCACACGAACCTCGGACGCTCTTCTTGCACCTATCAAATAGCTCCAATTATTAAACTTTCTAGCTTGACAACAATATTTCATGTGTGATCATTTGCAGGCAAGTCTATACGATTGGTTTTGTAAGTAAAGTATCTTATGATTTCAATTTCGATTGGTGAATAAAGGGGAATAAATTAGTGCCTAAATATTATACATATTTTATTAGACATAGACACTTGATTGAAGACATTGAAAGTCCTGCATTTTCGCCATTAAGAAGAGGAGTGGTGTACAAAGAATATAGAAAACATCTTAGCTTTATAATTAAAATGTATCAAAACGAAATATTATGTGAACAAATAAAAACCAATCTGTCAAAAATGATATGTTATTGTAAACGTTAAAAATTTTTCTCCTCACGAAATCGATGGTCTTTTAACCAAAAATTCTACCAAAATAATAAGAAATATAGCAGTCAATCACCTGCAAAACACATTTCTCAAGATATATCAAAATCCCACAAGTTTAAAGCCCCCAAAGCCAGCCGATCCGTACGAATATCGCTGTCGAGAACAACAGAAAGCGGAATGCAAACTACGAGAAAGAAAATGGGAAACAGATTAAACGATAGAACGTGAGTATTTTGGAGATTGGCGAATATTGAGATAGGAGTTGAGAGGAATTTAGATTAGGCGAAAGAAGTTGTCCTATTTTGGCTACGCATTATTATAAAATGCAAAGTGGTAAACTGTATGCTAGTCACGGAAGACACTTTACATTTACAGTTTTTAGATGTGCAGGATCCCACTGGAAAATGTCTTGTTTGGGACGATGAGTTGATGGCTACGTTGTCGGGAAATTCAAATAAAAACCCCATTCCACCCACAAAAAGGTGATATTGTAATATAAATAATCAGTAATACTAATGAACCTTCACCTATATTCAGTGGGTATACTTGAAAACTGGCTAATACCACGAAGGGCGTTGGATTTTATCCAACAAGTGTAGGTGCACGAATCTTCACAGAAGTATTTCCTGCATATGCTGTTGGCGATATAACTGCTGGAATAGATTTTCAATTATAGAAATGAGTACACTTGCAGACCGGCTTCGGGCTATTATAGTCTGACAATTTTCAATTGAAGGTAACTCATATACAAATTGAACTGAGAGCTAACGGCAACAATGTTAAATATTAGAACTACATTCTCACCGGGGTCATTTTTATTGTCTATGCATCGCTATTGTAAATAATTGAAAAGTAAGATGATTCCATAAAATTTGCTCCCCGTAACAAGATAGCTTCTGCATATCGATAGGATGTACGAGCGAATAGGTGAACCAGTTCATTAAATACTTTGGAACATCGGTAAACTGATCAACACTTTGCAGGTCTATTATATTTGCGTCCTCAAAATGCCATAACTAGTCATTCGGTTTCTTCATTATCAAGCGTCCTTATCTGCATAGGCGTAATGTGTTCTGTTTCTTGTGAAGGTGACTTTGTTAAAAAAAAATGAATTGGACGATTACCAGAAAAATTTTGTACGCTATACCATTCATTCTTTCTTTTTTGTGAATAAAGCGCCGCCCTCGAATCCATTAGGACAAAGGTAGTGGATAATGATCTCATTCCAAAAATGAGTAAAGAGAAGTTGAGGAAAATAATAAAAGAAGATTCAAAATTTATATATGCCAAACGATCCCGTAAATCTGTCTTATTGAAAAAGAGAAGAATAGTCTCATGGCGACGGAGATATCTTCGCTCTATTAAAGAGATGCGTTCTGAACGTCGGTGATAGCTGGTCACACAGTATCTAAGATCTGGCAAGATACTACTGTAACTAGTTATTGTCAAGTATTTGTGGACGGTTTATCAACAGGGTTACGCGGACCAACGGGTAAAGGCAACGACTAATTGTCCCCTATATAGGTAGCGAGAGTGGTTTTTTATACGATAGTGCACTAATTTTTTCATCCAAAAAACGGGGATTATCACGGAGACATGGACGCCCAACGCTTTGATGGTTTGAATTCCTTCTATCACGAGTAGAGCCAAATTCGGTAATAGTAATGGATAACGCTTCTCATCGCAGCCGATTAGTAAAACAGCTGCAAACTATGACCACCAGAAACGCAGACATGCAGAGTTGGTTAGGACAAAAAGGAATTCCATTTTCCGACGACATGGTTAAGGCCGAACTTATGACTGTCATTAAACGGCATCGTGACAATTATCGCCAGCATGTGGTGGATACAATAGCTCGTGCTGTAGGCATCACCATTTTGAGACTTCCTCCTAACCATTGCGAGTTGAACCCGATAGAATTAATCAGGGCTCAAATTAAGGGTAACGTAGCTCGTGAAAACTTGACATATAAAATTTCTGATGTCCAACGTTTATTAGAACTCGCAATGGAACGGATACGGAAAGAATATTGGGCTAATGCTGTAGCCCATGTGATCAAAGAAGAAGAGACACAGTTTTCGACCAAATAATAATAGATTTAAGTGTGACTGGGGATTCTTCTTCAGACGAGTCAATGGATTCTGAAACTTCATAGGCATAACATGTGTTCTTTGCTTTGTAGTTCTCTTTCTATATAAAAGAAACATAATAAAAAAATGTAATCAGTTTTACCATTGACACCAGGTAGCGCCACCTACTATAACAATTTTTTCGTAATTACCTATGTGTTTGAATGAATGAAAATATTATTTTAGTACGCCTCTGCAGAGTTGGTGAGAGGATTATCCGTTGGTCACTTCAAGTGCGACGTTGCTAATGAATCACCTTCAATTGAAAATTGTTATAGTATAGGTCTCTCGTCGGTGCAAGGTAGTGGCCATCATCAACCTGAAGTTGATGATTTTCCATAATTGAAAATCGAATTCCCTTCAGAGTATCTTTCGTCTAACCAAGCTGAAGCAAACGACAAACAACAATTTTGTCATCGCTCCATCTGGTGAACAAGGTACTAACCAACCGCATATCCAAAATTCGTCCAATCATAGTAATATAAATATAATAATAAATTTATTCACTAGAACTAGTGATACAGTTGATTATATGATACATTATAATTTAAGCAGGTAGGTAAATGGTGTTGATGATATTTTTGTACATAATTTACATAGTTTTATATCATGAAATGAAATACAAATAAATATGAGTGACAATCTACAAAAACGTATGCGTCGGTCGGTAGCCAAGCGGTTCGGCGTGTGTGCTTTGTTCACTCACTCGAATTGACGGCCGTGTTGGTCGGTGGTTCAAGCCCTAGTCTGAACGATCGATCTTCACTTGCTACCGTCCAACCCGTGTTAGGAATCACACGTTAAAAGATAAGACCTCGTTAGACTGGCTGTAAAACAAATTAACTGAAAAAACAATTTGTTCAAACCAGTCTCGACTCACCTACACTGTAGGTTAATAGTCTGACACCTTTCAGGAAACAACTATACATCCAAGTAATACCGCAACCTAGCACTAACGAGAGGCCAAATAGCCCGAAATCGGTTTGCAAGTGTGTTCCAATAAATGAAAATTCATTCCAGTAGTTGAATCGCCTACAACATATGCAGGAAATACTTCTGTGAAGATTCCTGTACTGACACCTGTTAGATATAATCCAACGCCCTTCGTGGTATTAGCCTGGGGAATAGTTGTTTTCTAATAGGTATCAGTCCATCAACCTACAGTGTAGGTAAGTCGAGAGTTCAATGGTGTAAAAAACTGATTTTTTTCAAATGAGATATCAATAGCTATTGATGGAAAACAATTCCTGCATATTTCAATATGCATATGACATTCACAGCT